GGGAAAGAGCTGAAGGGATCTGAAAAGTCTTCTACTGAATAATATTGTTAATAAAGGAGTCTTAAGGCTACTCCTATTGCTCTCATTCCACATGTGGCATTAGAATAATTATTATGTCAGGAGAAGGAAAAGACTTTCAATTTCTCTGCTTTGATATAACTTTTTTTTTTCCTAGTGGTCGTTTGCTTTATGTTTGACTTCGAAATCTCGGGCTATGTTTTGCCCTCATGTCCACCCACGCAAACACATCAAAGGCATATCGAGTTTCATGGGGCACCCAACCCTTGTAGTGTCTCAGTCCCTTCCATTTGTTATTTCAAACTCTTTGGTTTCTTGGGATGAGTAAACAAGTTTGGATTAAGTAGAAAAAGAAAACCCCAACCAGGGTAATTTTTCACCTGTTCTATGAGAGGCATCTTTCTTGGAAAAAAGGAAAATGTGTTTACCCTTTAGTGGGCAGGCGTCTCAGCACGTTTTGAGTCCTATGTAGCAAGCAAAGCTTGTCATCAAACTCTCAGTGTGATCACTGCAAACAAAGGGGTTGGACCCAGATTGAAAGCTCTCAGAATTTCACAAGAAAATATTCTCTGTTTGCTGTTTTCATGGCAAGAAGGGAGCAAGGTCAGCCAGCTTCATTGGAGGAGTCTACACTTGTGTTATGTTTTCATTTTGGCCTTGTAGCCACCGGTGGTAGGACTTAAATCATGCAGCCCGGGAGACCTATAGGGAGGCCTATACCTGAGCGGTTCTCCTTATACCCCAACAAAGTCCTTCGAAGAAAATGGGGTCTTCTCAGGTGCCATTCATTGGACATGATGGAGATGCCTGTGTTTGGGTGAGATGACTTGTACCCTTGAAAGCGGTGTAGTTTCTTCCCATGACCACAAAGGCGGCAGAATGATGAGTCCAGATGTATCTACCTGCACTGTAGACATCTGACTAGAGGAATCCCCTGTAAGGTGTCTAGAATGGTGTCTGAGTGCTGAGGTTCTCCAGAAATGTACCTGCAAGAGCACATCCTTTTCTTTTTCACACTAACGTTGTGAACCTAGCTGGCCTGAAATGACCCCTAGATCCACTGTTTAGGGAAACTCCGATCCAGCTGTGAAATTTGTGACGTGGGGCAGGCCTTGAGCACATTGGAACCATTTTCATATTCATTAAAAACACCGACAACTGCTTAAAAGCTCAGCACAGCTACTTACCAAAGTCAAGTAATATCTTGCCTTATGAGCAACTCCATTAATGGGACCTGCTTAAATGAAACCCCTAGAGGACTGAGATAGTGTGTGCAGCATTATGACTAGGCAAGGATACTAAAATCTGGCTATGAGTGGGTAGATCCTTTTTTTTTACTTTTTAAGATGATGCTTAGTTATGACTACAGGCGACATTGCAGCTGATAACCCTTGAACGTACCACCCTCAGCTTTAAAGGTCCACGATGGCACAGCATGGGAGCATTATTCTGCAGCCCAGCTGGCTTTAGAGGCTGTGACTGTGAAGGCCACGTTGTGTTTCAGAAGCCAAATACGAGAGAGTTTTTTGTGACCAGTAGTAAGGCAGTGGTAGCTTCACAGAGATGCCGTCTCTTTTTGGCTGCTGGGAGGCAGGACCTAGAGACCTGCGCTAACTGCTTGGTGAATAACAGCAGCAGCATCCTTTAATCAACTCAAGGCAGGGAGGAAGTTTGTTGGTTGCATGTGGACAAGGTTCCTTGGCTGGTGGAAATCGGTCTGGTCTGTTAAAGTGCAAGACCTGTTTGTGTAGGCTGTGGTCCTGCTCCCTTTGTGTATCTTATCTGCATCGGTTCTCCACCAGGAGAGGTGTCAGAAACAGAGGGGCTCATTGTAGTGTGCCCTTCCCAAGCAGCTGAGTGTGTCTGCACAGATGTTGTGTCAACGCCACTGGAAGGCCTTTGGCCACTCAGAAGATGTCTTCACCCTGTTTCAGGCTAGACTGTAGGAAATTGCTGGCTGCTTCTTTATCTGCTCCCCCCCCTGCCCAGTTTGTCTTTTCTTTGGGTTTAATGAATTTTTCTTGGGCCTTCAGATTATTAGGGTATTTTAATGGATTGATCTGAAGATGAAACTTACCCAGTGTTTAAGTCCACACCAGGAATGACTGCAGTGAAAAGACTATTTTTTACATGGGGATATATCAGCTTGTTTTACTGTTGATTCCCACAGCTTAAGCAAACCCATTTGTCGGTAGGATATAAGCAATAATCATAATAGTCTTGGGGTGCATTTAGTGAAGCTGCTGGCATTTCTTCCACTGACTTCAACAAGAGCCGGCTCCATTAACACCAGTATTAACAATGACTAATATTTCACATTGATACGGTGCCTTTCATCCTGTGGCATCCCAGAGTGCTTTCTAAGATACAGCCAGCCTGGAAGATTAACCCAACATTGTAATGACTATGTCTGAAGGATAAATCCGCTTCAGTGACAGGACCTTATTGAGGTCAATGGCAAAATCCCATTGTCTTCAGTCAGAGCAAGATCAGACCTATAATGTTTAAGACTATCCCTTGGATTTGATCTGTTGAATGTGAGGTTCTTGTCCTTGTTATTTTAGTCCTTCTTAGAAGCGGGATGAGCCTTCACTCACTTCAGGGATGGGTGGGAGTGTACCTTGCTGGAGCTGCACAGCAGACTGGCCTGTGCCCATAGAAATCAGTGAGTTGCCATTGTTTTTGGCAAAAGTCCTCAGAAGAGGCCTCTATTTCACAATCTCCTAAAGCAGGGCTGTGCGTCCCAAGAGCAGAGCAGTCTGTATTTTGCATATGATAAAACAAAAAGCATAATTCCTGCCCATAATTAATTTGCTCCATCTGAAATTAATGAATTTCATATACGTGCATTGGGCTGGTTTAATTTTAATTTAGCATGTGTTTGTCATTTTTATCACAATGAATTTTCATGAGAATGTCTTCCCTCTAGGTCTCTTGTTTCTCTACCCCAGAAACAGAGATGGGTCCATGGTTTTGACATTTTGGGGATCACTTCAACTCTGCTGTGACTGGCCTTTGAAATCACTGGAAAAAATTTCCAGCTTGCTATTGTGACTGTGCTGGTCTCACTCTTCCTGACATTTATTCGAGTCCTTATCTGTTTGGCACTTGGGTCAGGTACCTGCTAGGAGGGTGAGACCATGTACACCGGGATGATGTGTCCAGCTAACAGCTTGGATGGCATCTCCGACCCCAGTCGCAGGGCTGGCCGTGGCTTTGTCACCATCCCAAGCAAAACTTGTATTCCTATCTTTAAGCTTCACATCAAATCATGGCCTGGTCTGATCTGTTCTTAGCAATTGAGTGAAACATGAGAGACGTTGTGTCCTGCGGGACACGACACCAAGCTACGCAGGGTCAGGACCCTGTGCGTGCTCTAAGAGCCAGCACAGTCCCAGTCCCAGCGCCAGGCTGATATCGCTTTGCCACCACCCGCTCCTCAGCTTGCACCTTTGCTGCTTCACCTGGAAATCAATTCTGGCTGCCCCTGAGCCTTTGTGTCACAATGCACATCCTCATTAGGGGCTGGGGAGCCTAGGGCTCATGTATGCCTCCCCAAATCTGAGCTGGATTCATCAGGGATCGAGACTTCCAGGTCTCCTCTAGCATCGCTGCCTGGTAAGGCTTGCCTGGGGCTTCCTCCTGGCTTTGAACCTGGGCAACACGTCCCTGCCGGCTGGCTTAAAACAGGCCAGGCAAAGATTTCCCGTGCCAGCCATCCAGCTGGAGCAAAGGGCCTTCCTTGTGTGTGTATCCCTGTTCCCTCGGTGAGGACAGGAAGCCAGGAAGGGTGATGTTGTATTTAAAGCCCTTGGCATTTGAGGTTTTTTGCTTGTGGCAGCCCCAGGGCTGCTGCTGGGCTGTGCATGAGCAGCTTTCCCCCTCCTACCTTTAGCAAGCAGGGCTGCTCTCTCCGGCTCCCTTTGCCCAGAGGTAGAGGAATCAACCTTTGATTCGCCCAGTTTTAGGATGATGTGAAGTTTCCCATCTGCTATGGAGAGCATGGGGTCACTAATTCAGACTGGGATGATGAACTTTGGGATGCCTAAACTGGAGCAGATGAGCCTGGTCCTTCCTCTCCCCATGCCTCCAGCCCTGCGTGTAACAGGCAGCTATTGTATCCCTGCCTTCCTGGGGAGAGAAATCCGTGAATGATTCCCATGCTGTGGGGAAAGGCACCCGGCTGATGAGCAAAAACTGAAACTCTGCTGTGATCTGGAAGAGGGGAACGCTTTGTCCTTTGCACCAGTTTAAGATCTTATGGACGAAGATTTGCTCAGCCAGGAAACTCTTTTCATTGTCCTTCACCGGGGTTGAGACTGTAGTTCCTGGTGGATAGCGGATCCATTTTTTTCCCCTTTTCTCCCTTTTTCAGTATATCCATCAGCACTGTCACGTGCTCACATTTATTATGAAAACCAGTGTTCAGCCCTGGGGGGTTTTCAGGACTCTCCTGTCTTCTGCTATGGGTGGAATTCTGCAGAGGATCCTGTTCAAGATCTATATAACTCCTCACATAAACTCCCAAGTCCAGATTTTTAAGGATGTTTATGGATATTGGATGCATAAGTCGCTTTCCAAGTGTGGTCTGTGGGGCTTTCACGGCACCTGTGTTAATGCATGTTATGATGCCTCAATAGGAGTTTCTTACAGGAGGTCCAACGGACCTTTTCCTACCGTTTCCCAACCCTGACGGGTGTATGGTTGCTCATTGCAGCCGCTTATATCCGTGCAGAAGAATATAATGCTCAGGTTTCCTATAGGTATGTCTGCATGCAAGTAGAAAATGCTCTGCCGGGCAGCACAGATACCTGTTGCAGCACTCCCAAAAACCCTAGAAGGCTTTAGAAATAAAATCGGATCTGCTAAAGTAAACCTGAAAGAATGGTCAGAGCAAAATCTTTCGAAAGAAGAAAAATAAGACGAACACCTGACACTTTTGTGAAGAGTTTGCCCAGACCCCCCATGCCGCCGTGAAAGTTTGAGACCCCTCGTAACACTGCATCCCAGCAGCTCTTGCCACTAATGGTTTTAGATCAGTCAGAAAGCCTCGGGGTGAGATAGTGTCTGCGAGGAATATTTCAAGGTGATAATGATTGGTTTTGCTCCTAAACACAGTGCAATTACCTAATGTGCAGATAGCTGGAATTTTTCAGCCCCTGCGAGTTATTTGGGTATGTTTTGCTCCCGTGCCAGCAATTTTCTGTCATCTTGCCTTCAGAAATTTCAACAGAACTTGGGATTTCCTGGTGGGATCTGAATTTTGGGATGGGGGGGTTTGCTGTGTAGCTGTGGTTGGGGTGGGGGGGGGGGGGGGTTGTGCAGCTGTGGCACCACAGGGTGTACGAGGGAGGAAGGGGGCTGCTGGGTCTTCAGCTGGTCCTGGGCACATCCCCAGGGCTGCCTGGGCATGGGGTACATGAATCCCATGGTGATCTGGGGAGAAGGGATGGAAACACAAAAAAAATAATTGATTTTTGTTTAGATTAACAGACCCCTGACTATGAAGAAAGAAGGAATTCAGACCAGAAACCGAAAAATGTCTAGCAAATCCAAAAAGTGCAAAAAGGTCCATGACAACCTTGAAGACTTTCCCAAGAGCAGCTCCTTTAACCCCGCCGCCCTCTCCAGACACATGTCCTCCATCAGCCACATTTCACCTTTCAGTCACTCCAGCCACATGCTGACTACACCGACACCGATGCATCCTCCATCCAGCCTCTCCTTTGGACCTCACCATCCTTCCAGTATGGTCACTGCCATGGGTTAGCGAGAGACTCCCCTGCTGAATGCTTACAGTCTCAAAATGAGATTTACTTTATATACTTGCATTTTTGCAGGCGTGTGGTTATGGGTCTGACGTCCCAAATCAAATGGGAGGGGGAAAAAAGAATTAAAAAAAAAAAAAAGTCATTTGAAGGCATAAGAGAGGAAAAAAAAACCCCAAAAAACTCAGAAAAAAACTACAAAAAGCACAAAAAAGGAAAAAAAAAGAAAAAAAGAGAAAAAAGTAAAAAAAAAGTTTTAAAAAAGTGATGTTTGCCACTTTTTAAAGGAACTCACTATGGCGTCTATGTATTCTTATCCACTGAATCTGGATACCATTTGTGAATAAGCCATTCAGAACTTGCATTCCCTATTGGACAGGATCTCTAGTGCTGTGAAAAAAATAATAAAATAAAATAAAACCCACTGAACATTGCATATAACTTATATTGTAAGAAATACTGTACATTTGAGGAAGACTTTATTGCATCTGGAGAGCTGTAAAGAAAAAGGCATGAAGGACTCCGAGAGATTTTTTTTTTAAAGGAAAAGAAAAAAAAAGAGGACGGGAGGACAATTTAAAAACAAGAAAAATAAACAATGCAGACCAAGAGGAAACGCGGTCTTACGAACAAATGGACCAACTGCCAGTCATGTCTTCTCCTTTTATTTTATTTTTATTTCATTTTTTTTTGGTTGGTTTTTTTTTTGTTTGTTTTTTTTTTCGTTTCCGGGGAGGGGGAGGGGGCTGGCTAGAACGGTTTTGATGATGCATTAACTAACTAACTAACTGAATAAATAACTGAATAAATAAAACCTATAGGGAGATCATTCATTTCAGGCCACAGGCCTTTTACATAGGAAGTACCAATGGTGTCAGGCAATCAGTGTTAACATGCGGACATTGCCAACAAGGGGTTTTCAGATAGCCATTCTCCAGGTCTATATGCATTGTGAACAAGTTCCTGTAATTGTTGTTTGTATGTATAATTCAACGCACCAAAATAAGAAAGATGTAGATTTATTTCATCCTATTATACAGGCTGAATGGTTGTACAAATTTATTTACTGCTAGTGATAAGACCTGCTTTTTTTGTTTTGTTTTCATATTTTTTCCTCCTTTTTTTTTTTTTTGAGAATAAACTAGATTAAATTCTGTTGACTTAAAAGTGTTTTGTGCTTGTGGGTGGGAAAGGGAATATGTTTCTTTCTTTCTTCTTCTTATTTTTTTTAAATTTGTTTTGATGGTATTTACTGCGTAGTTACCATGGGTACTGGAATGTTTGTCTCTGAGCTCATGCTGACAGCCAATGCAGTGTTTGTGGTGGCTTGATAAAAAAACCCCCCACAGAACAAAGGAAAAAAAAAAACCCTTAAAAATAAATGGACTGCATGTTAGTGTAACCCCACTGTCCGGTGTGTGCTCCCTGTCCCTTGAACCGCAACCCAGCTGCTGCCCCCGCCTGCTGTTGGGCTCCCACGTGGGTTGGGTTCCTTTTGGTCTCAGTCAACTATGGCCACCATGGTGGCAAACCTGTTCCGGTGACAATTTGGGACTGGAATAAGTGCAAAGGTATGGCAGAGTCCTTATGGTCCTGGCTACTTTTTGGGCAGTACGAGGCAAGACCCTGAGACTTTGGACAGGAGCACTTTCTGCTCTGCCCTGTTGGGTACTCAGTGGTATAATTTGATGGTCTAAAGTTGAGATCTCGATGTGAAATCAAGATGTACCAGACCCTGTCCCTGTGCTTGGAGGAATGGGCAGCACCTGTTACAAAAGACTGGGTTTGATGGTAGACAGAGGACAATTCTCAAAAATTCAAAGGCCATCAGCCAGCCCCTTCCTTTAAGAGTTTTCTTTGAAATATTCCCATTTGTATTATTATTA